ATGTGACCATCAGTACATAGCCCTAGATCAATGTGACAGACTGGGCTTTGTGCCTCCCATCTGTGCCCCTAGCCTCCTGCGGCTCCCATCTGTGTTTTCTGTGTTCAACAGGACAGGGATCATCTTTATCGATTCAAGGCTGCGCGACATATGCTCTGGAAGGTTCTACTACAACCCATGACCAGCGTTCTATGGGGTACATGTTGAAGCAGGAAATGCAGAGAGGACTGGAGTCAACAGTAAGAAGCTCTGCATTGCAAGAGAAAACAAGAAAAGAATCTACAGACCTGGAGTCAACAGTAAGAGGCTGAGAAACTCCAGGGAGAGAGGAACTATCTATGTGGATGGAGCATGTGACTGTATAGGAATCATGTGATCAGAAGTCATGTGACCAGAATGATGGAATGATGGAATCAGATATCATCAGTGATGTGATTAGTGATAGGATCAGATGGAATCAGGTGATCATGTGACCCAATCACCAGAGAGTGATCAAGTCCAAAACCCATCACCAACACTCCCCCGGGATGAAATCAGTCTCTCAGCCTCTCCCCCGCAATCTCATCAGTTTGCGCAACCTTGCCACCTGAGGCCGAGGCAGCGCCTTGGTCAGGATGTCAGCCAGCTGGTCCTGCGTCGGCACATACTTCACATCAATAAACCCTCTGGCCACTTCATCTCTGAGCCAGTAGTGCGCAAGGTCCAGATGTTTCATACGCCCATGGTGTTCAGGATTCTTGGACACAGATATGGCAGACTGGTTGTCCATCATCAAGGGAGAAGCCCCAGACACACCATGCTCCAGCTCATGCAGCAGATTCCGCATCCACTTGATCTCCTTCCCAGCATCCACACCAGCCACATACTCTGCCTCAGTAGTGGACAGAGAGATGGTGGACTGCAGCTTGCTCCTCCAGCTCACTGGTCCACCAGCCATCATGATGACATACCCCCCAGTGCTTTTCATGGAGTCCTTGTCTCCAGCATGATCAGCATCAGTGAAGGTGGTGAAGAGGTCATCAGGATGGATGTGGGTGGCTGGGTCAGAGAGGGTGGGGGAAGATTTGGAGTAGGTAATGCGGAAGTCAAGGGTGCCCTGGATGTATCGAAGCAGGTGCTTGACTGCCTTCCAGTGCTCTTCACCAGGATTGCTATGGAAGCGTGCCAACACTCCCACAGCATAGGAGATGTCAGGGCGAGTCTGACAAGCCAGGTACATCAGAGAGCCAACAGCAGACAGATAGTTGCCCTTGAACTGCTTGGACTCCTCCTCAGTCTTGGCTCCCATCTCCTTGGTCAGAGACAGGCCAGGCAGCATGGGGGTGTCCACAGGCTTGCAGTCAGCCATGCCATACTGCTCCAGGAGGTTCACAGCATACTGGCGCTGAGAGATGCTGATGTCCCCAGTATGCTCATCACGCTCTATCTTGATCCCCAGAAGCCACTCTGTAGGACCCAGATCCCACACCTTAAAGGCTGTACCCAGCTGGGCAATGACCTTGTCAATGTCAGCATCATGCTTTGCAGCAATGGTGCCATCATCAACGTAGATGGGCAGAATCACGCGGACCACACCATCAGAGTAGATGTGGCAGGAGCTGTCTGACTTGATGCACTTGAACCCCATGGCAGTCAGCTTGGCAACCAACTTGATGCGCCACTGGCGGCCAGCCTGCTTCAGCCCATAGATGGACCGGTTCAGCTTCAAGACCTGGCCCTTCTCTCCCTGGGGGAACCCTTCTGGCTGAGTCATGTAGACATCCTCATCCAGGTCCCCATTGAGGTAGGCAGAAGAGAAGTCGATGGAGCGCAACTTGAGGTTGTTCTGGGCAGCGAGAGCGAGGATGACACGCAGAGTAGCAGGTCGGAAGGTGGGTGCAAACACCTTATGGTAGTCAATGCCATAGCGCTGGCCACGACCATCTGCCACGAGTCTGGCTTTGTAGCGTTCCACAGTGCCATCAGACTTGTGTTTGATCACAAACACCCATTGAGAGCGAATTGGTTTGACCCCTTTGTGGCAAGTCGACCACATCCCATGTGCAGTTGCTGAGCAGAGAGTCAATCTCAGATGCAGCTGCAGCGCGCCATAGTGGACCATCCTCCCGCTTGGACGCTTCAAAGAACGACCTGGGGTTCCCAGAGGCTACAGCAGACAACACGGACTGCACTGCAGTAGCGTGAGCTGCTGCCAGCTTGGGATCTGAGGGGTCACCCTCGCGAGCCACAATAAGGGCAGAGGATGACTTCAGAAGCAGCTCATCGTCGCTGAGGTCTTCAGGGATCTCTTCAAAGATCTCTGCCATGGTGCGCCTAGGAGGAGCAGCCGGAGCTGGAGCCCTCCTGGGTGGTGCAGGGACACGATGGATGCCAGCAGCAGCACGACGAGCTGCCACCCCAATTGGAGATTGGGGAGGAGGAGGCGAGGGTAGAGGGTGAAGCGGGGCATCCCCAGCTGGTGGTGGAGATGGAGATGGTGGAGCTCGACGTAGAAAGTCGATTTCATCATCACTGCTGGCTGCAGGAGAGGGAACTCGTGGTGCAGGGAGAGGACGAGCAGGCGGCTGTTGCTGCTCATCATCACCATTGTCATCAGGGACATACACCGGTGCCGGAGCACAAGGGGGATCCACCAGCATGGAGAAAGGGGGTGCCGCAGGACAGCTCCTCATAGCTTGAGGGGTGCTGCCTGGGAAGTAGCGCTCATCAAACACTGCTCTCTCAGCGATCACGAGTTTCCGGGTCTCTGGGTTGAAGAACAACCATCCCTTGTACCCTGCAGGATAGCCTACAAAGATACACTTCTGAACATGATGCCCAGAAGGACCTCTCTTGTCTTTTTGCACATGCACATAGGCAAGGCATCCCCAAACACGCAGATGAGACACATCAGGCTTTGCCTTGAACCACAGCTCATGGGGAGTCCTGGTAGGGTCTCGAGCTGTGGGGTGCATGTTGCACACATGGATGTATGCAGACACCGCCAGTGCCCTGAATGCAGGGGGCAGGTTGGCTTCGTGTAACATGGCAGTGGAGTGCTCATCAACGGTGCGGTTAGACCGCTCTGCTGTCCCATTCTGCTGAGGCCGCGCCCTGACTGAATGGCGGTGCACAATGCCACACTTGTCCAGATGTGATCTGAACTCATTCGACATGTACTCTCCCCCTTTATCGTCCTGGAATGCCTTGATCTTCAGCCCCCAGTGAGTCTCAGCATATGCTTGAAACATCTTAAGGGCTGCAAATGTCTCACTCTTGTTCTTCATGTGGTATGCTACCTTGAAGCCAGTGTGATCATCAACAAAAGTCACCCTGTGCTTCCAGCCCTCGCGGGTGGGCACAGAGTAGCTCTTTAGATCAGAGGGAATCAGATCAAGAGGCGCTCCAGAACGATGACCAGTTGAGGGAAACAGGCCAGCATTCAGCTTGCCAAAGAGGCATGGCTCACAGATGGGGTCTGGCTTCCTAGCAGAGGCAAGCCTCACACCAGTAACTAGCTCTTTATCCATGACTAGCTTGGTATCACTGTGGTGTCCAAGCCGCCTGTGCATCAGGCTGAGGTCAATGGGAAGAGTCCCAGCTGTAGAGACCAGTGCTGAACCAGCAGAAGGGAAACCAGTCTCTCTCACAAATGCCTGACCCTGCTCTGAGATATCTGCCACAAAGTACACTTCACCATTGCGCTTGAACAGGATGTAGTTCTCCTTCATGAGCACAGTGTAGCCGTGTTGAACTGACAGATATGTAGTGGAGATCAGATTGTGTGACAGAGCAGGGACATAGAGCACATTGGAGAGGATCACAGACCGGCTCCTGGCATGTCCATGGATCAGTGGCCTAAGCACTATCTCCCCCACAAGCTCTGAATAGACCACAAGTCCATTAGCCACTCTGATGGGTGCCCTGTGAGGACGAGTGTTCTGCAGCAGGTGCACACAATGGGTCATGTGTGATGTAGCACCAGAATCTGCAATCCATCTGAGCTCAGGCTCTGCAGTGGAGTGGGAGAGGAGGCTTGTATGAGTGGCCACTTCAGACTTGACTGCACCCTTTCTGGGCCTAGGCCTAGGCTCAGGCTCAGGCTCTAGCTCAGGCTCAGAAGCATTGTCCTCTAGGAGAGACAGAAACTCTGGGCATTTTAGGAGTGTGTGGCCATGTTGATAACAGGCATAACACAATGGCTGAGCAGAAGCAGGTGCAGCTGCCAGGGCAGCAGAAGGAGAAAAGACTGATGGATGAGAGTGGGAATTTGATGCCATGCTGTGCTCAAAAATGCGCCCAGAATGATGTAGGAGATGTATGTATGTAGCTACAGGCTCTCAGGAGTGTGTTGATCTCAGGCACCTAGCTGTCTCAACCTCAGGATCACAGGAATGACTACCTGGTGTTTCCTGATGGACCAAAGAGCACACCCACTTAATGATAGAGTCCCAACTACTAGTGCCTGAACCACAGACACTATAAGAGCAGAAAAAACAGAACAGAGGGGGGCAGAGATGTCAACTGCAGTAGCAGGACTGGGGCAAGGATCATGTGACCTAATCACCAGAGAGTGATCAAGTCCAAAACCCATCCTCAACAGAAAAGACAGATGGGTGTTGAAGTGTGGAAAGGATGTCTTGCTTGGTTCAGACAAAAGAGTGTTACTTAGCTATGTGACCATCAGTACATAGCCCTAGATCAATGTGACAGACTGGGCTTTTCGCCTCCCATCTGTGCCCCTAGCCTCCTGCGGCTCCCATCTGTGTTTTCTGTGTTCAACATTAATTTATCTGCAGCTTTCTGATCCTTTTTACTTTGTAAATACTCTCTATTTAAAGCTATTTTTCTTTGGCGTTCCTTTTCCATATCGGCAATGAGAAAATTGTGAATATTGGTATGTAGTGCGTCCGAGATTGTGTATGTATGTGCAGAATCGTTCATGTCTTTAATCGAAACAAGTACAGAAAATTGTCTATAGTCCAAACACTCCACCTCCTTGGCTAGAGGAGTGGAGCGCTTCAAAAACCCTTCTCGCGCAGCTTCTCGGCAATCTCCTTGAGGAACTCGTTGTCCTTGTCCCCGTTCTCGATCTCTTCAAGCATCGTGGCCCGATTGAAGAATGTGCGCTTCTTCCTTGGTTCCAGGCAGTTCCGCGCAATGTGCCCAGGCTGTTGACAGTTGTAGCAGATGATATTGCGGCCGCGGGCGTGGGTACGATCAATTTCTATTGGAACCGGTTCGTTGGCAGCGGGTTGGGCCGGGGCGGGTGCAGGCGTTGTTGGGGCTGCCTGCGGGCGGAATTGGGGGGGTGGTCGTGGCGTAGAGTGCGCATGCAATGCTTTGCGCAGCTGATTGCGTAGAGCATTTGCCTCGATGTTGACACACCAGTCCTTGAAGGCACCATACGCCTTGGGCAAGGGGACACCTGTGTTGTAGAGGCAACTTGCGATCTTGCTGCTCAGCCCACGCTCGAGGAATTTGATGAGGATGTTGTCCTGATCCCCCTTCTTGTACTTGCCCTTGCTGTTGGTGGAGGTGACCACATTGTACCCCGCATCCACAGCCAGCATCTCGAAGTCGGAGATATAATCTGCAAAGGATCGTCTATTCTGGTGCAGGGCCATGAGCCGAGTGGCGGCAACTTGCTCCGCGTTGGAGTCCCCAAAAGCCCTTTGAAGCTCCTCCAAGAAGGTCCCCAAGGTGACCCCAGCCTTTATTCCATTAAAGCTCTCAAAGTTGCGCTGCTTCCAGTTCATCGCCCATCTTGAGGCGGCGCAGCTTGTGCCAGCCTCGTTGCGGAGGTATGAGAGGATGAAGAGGATTTTTGTTTCATCCTGCGAGAATTCCGACCGATAGGCACCCATATAGGTGGTGCACGAGTCCACGAAGCCCATATATTCGGACTTGTCCCCATCGAAGTATGGGGGGTGGCGGCGAGGGTGATGCGGTGGTGTCCTGACATGGTAGGAGCAGGCGTGGTAGGTGGGGGCGAGGGTGGTTGTTTGGAGGGTAACTCGTCAAGGTCGGGGATCTTGTCTTCAGGCGGTGGGAGGGCGAGGTAAGGAGTAGAGGGCCCGGGTTGGTTTTGGTACGCCAGATCGGGCAACAAGGGTACGATGGGGGGAGGAGACGGGCTCCCAGATGACGATGGGAATCGGTACGAAGTGGTGGATCCGTGTGCTGTACAAGCACTCAAGGGAGGGTTCTTTTGCTAGCAAAAAGATCCCAGGCCTAGCTCTTCACGTGCCCAATGATCCCGAGGTGCGTTTTCCCAAAGGTCTCCGCAGCACTCCTTGTAGCTACTGTAAGGCTTGGGTCGGGCTCAACGTTACCCGTGGCCTGGTGCTGTTTGCTTGATATGAACCCTTCACTGCGATCACAGGGAATGACTAGATGATTCGGTAAAAGGGTAAGTTGGTTGATAAGGGTTAAGAGGATATAGCAGGTGTAGCGGTGCGGGATGCAGGGTAGGAGGTATGAGGTAGGAGGGTATGAGGGGAGTCTTCAAATTATGTGACAATCAACCCAAAAATAAAGTCGAAAAGAGAAGTGAATTCGAAGACTGGAGAATACAACCAAGTAGCTACAGTATTTATACCCAAATCCAGTCTGAGTCATATCTACAACTAATGAGTCATAGGGCTATGTACCGCATGGAGCACTGGTCATGGGTTGTAGTAGAACCTTCCGGAGCATATGTCACGCAGCCTTGGATCGATAAGGATAACCCCTGGAATCCCTAGCCCGGACCGTCTGATGCCATGATAAGATAAGTCATGCCAAGATAAGATGAGATAAGATGAAAGGGGGTCGAATTATGACACAAATCCAGCCTGAGTCATATCTACAACTAATGAGTCATAAGACTATGTACTACATGGAGCACTGGTCATAGGTTGTAATACAGTTGACTTGCTCATAATGCATATGGTTGAGACAGCCTAAAGTGTATACATTATTGCATTTATACAGTCTCAGATTGTCACAATTTCTGTGACTACATACAATAGTCAGAGTGACACTGTCACAGAGTTTCCTTTTTAGTGCTATATATCTCACCTACTCTTCATGCTAGTGGGGAAGAACTTTCCTAGAGTAACCTGTTCAGTGATGAGAAGCTCTTCACAGTGCAATCTGGCTCTGAACTTTCTCAGTTCCCTCTGCAAATTCATTCCCTCTAGTCCAATACAGACATCACCCAGTTTCTCACACATCAACAGAACCTCAGCAGTGCTGATTGGCTTGCAGCAGGATGGAGTGATGTATTTGATGCATCTATTTTTTTTGGAGATTTGTGTGGCTGGCTAGACTTCTCATACGGCTTGTTCTTTCATGGTTTCTGTTCATTTTTGTTCAGCAGCATGGAAAGGAGTAGGAGCAGGATATTCAGACTTGTAAAACTTTTCCCAGACCCTCAAAGTTAATTTTATTCATGATGTCATTCTGTATAAATGACCTACCATATGCATTATAGAAATTGCATAAATTTTGCATATCAGGCTTTCTCAACTTGGGAAGCGCCAAATCCAATGCATTATGACATTTATGCAATATGACCAAATGCATTATGAGCAGGTCAACTGTAGAACCTTCTAGAGCCTGTGTCGCACAGCTTTGAATCAGTAGAGATATCCCCCTGAGCCGCTAGCTCGAACCATTGGATGCCATAATCCATGATAAGATAACCTGTGCCAAGATAAGATAAGATTGTTAATGATAAGATGAAAAAGTGGCCAAACTATGGCATTACCCCCTCTCTAGGGTCAATGTCCTCATTGACTAGGCCAATAGGTGTGAGGACATTTTCATAAGAGTCAAACAGTTGTTGTTGGGGATATGGGAGGCGCTTATCTTTGGGTTTGTAGCAATGGATGAGATAGTCCCAATGTTCAGCTTTGAGCGTTAGCAGGAGACAAATACATGTGTCTGGGTTGGATTGTTTCCTCTGCCAAGCTCTCAAGACCTTTTTCATGTGGGTAAAATGATGTAATGGTTCCCAGATATTCTTGCTATGCGGCCATCTCTTTTATTTGACCAAATACTGCTTTCCTTGGCTGACGTTTTGTTCCTTCACAATCTCTTCAACTTTCTATTCTTCTGCTCCTCTGATCATTTTGGCTACAGGTCTCTTCTCTCAGCAATGGGGGGTGGTTTGTGTGTTGAAGCAGGAAATGCAGAGAGGACTGGAGTCAACAGTAAGAAGCTCTGCATTGCAAGAGAAAACAAGAAAAGAATCTACAGACCTGGAGTCAACAGTAAGAAGCTGAAGAACTCCAGGGAGAGAGGAACTATCTATGTGGATGGAGCATGTGACTGTATAGAAATCATGTGACTTGGAGTCATGTGACCAAAATGATGAAATGATGGGAACAGTGATGGAATCAGATATCATCGGTGATAAGATCAGATGGAATCAGATGATCATGTGACCCAATCACCAGAGAGTGATTAAGTCCAAAACCCATCCTCAACAGGAGTGCCTCTGAGTCAGCTGTTCTGAGATTTTCGAGTTTTTTCCATTCTCTGATTTTCTCTGCCTGCTGCTGCCTGCTTGCCCCAGTCCTGCTACTGCAGTTGACATCTCTGCTCCCCTCTGTTCTGTTTTTTCTGCTCTTATAGTGTCTGTGGTTTAGGCACTAGTAGTTGGGACTCTATCCTTAAGTGGGTGTGCTCTTTGGTCCATCAGGAAACACCAGGTAGTCATTCCTGTGATCCTGAGGTTGAGACAGCTAGGTGCCTGAGATCAACACAGTCCTGAGAGCCTGTACCGACATACATATGTTGAATACAGAAAACTCAGATGGGAGCCGCAGGAGGCTAGGGGCACAGATGGGAGGCAAAAAGCCCAGTAGGTCACATTGATCTGATGTTATATACTACGCGTCACGGAGTAATGTCACACCCTTTGTCCAAACCAAGCATATACAAAATCCACACATCAACAACATACATCCCCTACATCATTCTGGGCGCATTTTTGAGCACAGCATGGCATCAAATTCCCACTCTCATCCATCAGTCTTTTCTCCTTCTGCTGCCCTGGCAGCTGCACCTGCTTCTGCTCAGCCATTGTGTTATGCCTGTTATCAACATGGCCACACACTCCTAAAATGCCCAGAGTTTCTGTCTCTCCTAGAGGACAATGCTTCTGAGCCTGAGCTAGAGCCTGAGCCTGAGCCTAGGCCTAGGCCCAGAAAGGGTGCAGGTAGGTCACATTGATCTGATGTTATATACTACGCGTCACGGAGTAATGTCACACCCTTTGTCCAAACCAAGCATATACAAAATCCACACATCAACAACATACATCCCCTACATCATTCTGGGCGCATTTTTGAGCACAGCATGGCATCAAATTCCCACTCTCATCCATCAGTCTTTTCTCCTTCTGCTGCCCTGGCAGCTGCACCTGCTTCTGCTCAGCCATTGTGTTATGCCTGTTATCAACATGGCCACACACTCCTAAAATGCCCAGAGTTTCTGTCTCTCCTAGAGGACAATGCTTCTGAGCCTGAGCTAGAGCCTGAGCCTGAGCCTAGGCCTAGGCCCAGAAAGGGTGCAGTCAAGTCTGAAGTGGCCACTCATACAAGCCTCCTCTCCCACTCCACTGCAGAGCCTGAGCTCAGATGGATTGCAGATTCTGGTGCTACATCACACATGACCCATTGTGTGCACCTGCTGCAGAACACTCGTCCTCACACGGCACCCATCAGAGTGGCTAATGGACTTGTGGTCTATTCAGAGCTTGTGGGGGAGATAGTGCTTAGGCCACTGATCCATGGACATGCCAGGAGCCGGTCTGTGATCCTCTCCAATGTGCTCTATGACGATGAGCAGCAACAGCCGCCTGCTCATCCTCTCCCTGCACCACGAGTCCCCTCTCCTGCAGCCAGCAGTGATGATGAAATCGACTTTCTATGTCGAGCTCCACCACCTCCATCTCCACCACCAGCTGGGGATGCCCCGCTTCACCCTCCACCCTCGCCTCCTCCTCCCCAATCTCCAATTGGGGTGGCAGCTCGTCGTGCTGCTGCTGGCATCCATCGTGTTCCTGCACCACCCAGGAGGGCTCCAGCTCCGGCTGCTGCTCCTCCCAGGCGCACCATGGCAGAGATCTTTGAAGAGATCCCTGAAGACCTCAGCGACGATGAGCTGCTTCTGAAGTCATCCTCTGCCCTTATTGTGGCTCGCGAGGGTGACCCCTCAGATCCCAAGCTGGCAGCAGCTCATGCTACTGCAGTGCAGTCCGCGTTGTCTGCCATAGCCTCTGGGAACCCTAGGTCGTTCTTTGAAGCGTCCAAGCGGGAGGATGGTCCATTATGGCGCGCTGCCGCTGCTTCGGAGATTGACTCTCTGCTCAGCAACTGCACATGGGATGTGGTCAACTTGCCACAAGGGGTCAAGCCAATCCGCTCTCAATGGGTGTTTGTGATCAAACACAAGTCTGATGGCACTGTGGAACGCTACAAAGCCAGACTCGTGGCAGATGGTCGTGGCCAGCGCTATGGCATTGACTACCATGAGGTGTTTGCCCCCTCCCCCGACCTGCTACTCTGCGCGTCATCCTTGCTCTTGCTGCCCAGAACAACCTCAAGTTGCGCTCCATCGACTTCTCTTCTGCCTATCTGAATGGGGACCTGGATGAGGATGTCTACATGACTCAGCCAGAAGGGTTCCCCCAAGGAGAGAAGGGCCAGGTCCTGAAGCTAAACCGGTCCATCTATAGGCTGAAGCAGGCTGGCCGCCAATGGCGCATCAAGTTGGTTGCCAAGCTGACTGCCATGGGGTTCAAGTGCATCAAGTCTGACAGCTCCTGCCACATCTACTCTGATGGTGTTGTGCGCGTGATCCTGCCCATCTATGT